TAATTTCAAGTCCAAGTTTGTCCAATAAGACTTTAGTAATAATACTAGTGGCAGCTCTACTATCAACAATAGCTGTTTGAGCTTTCTGTCCAATCTGTAATGTATATTTGGCAGCTGTAGTTGGCTCTCCATCGCTTTTTGCTAGGTTAGCTTCTTTAGCATCTTTCTCTCTGAAACGTCTGACAGCTCTGACTAAACCTGATTGATACTTTGGTATAGCATGTGCTGCTTGTCTTACTGAAAGTTCACATGATAAATTCTGTAGATACGTGGAAACATTAAATTCAGTAAGTTGCTCGATTAGTGCAGGTAATAGTCATTGTCGAGAAGATTTTTCAGTTTTTCCTGTCACAGTTGGTTCAACTGAAGGTGTTAATTCTGCTTCAATTTCTTCATCGATCATAGGAGAACTGAAACGTTGAGTCATCGTAGGTCTCAAAAGTTCTTCTCGTTGTGATTCACTTTGTTTTCTTCTGTTCTTTGAGATTGGATTTTTAGAGTATAGTCTAGATCTGGTATTTAAGTAGACTTCATATTCTTCTTCTTCTTCAGTTTCATAATCACACTCTTCATCATAATATTGTTCAGCCAAATGAACATCTCTTTGATTTTCAAATTGTAGATTTCGGTTTGACCTTAGTTGTTGAGACGCAGTGCATTCTCTACTGAAATGTCTAACTTTTCCACAATTGAAACAAGATAGATTTGTTGGTTGTGATCTCCTTTATGTATTAGAATAACTTCGGTTACCAGAAAAATTTCGCTCATTATTGAAGTTTCGTTCATTTGAGAAATTCCTTTCATTATTGAAATTTCTTCTCCTTGGAGGCATTTGGGGTTGAGCTAACAAAGCAGTTGTTAGATTAGCATAGTTAAGCGATAGTTGTTTCATTTATTTTGTCAGTTCGTTGACTTAATTACTAGTAAAAGTAGTTTTTTGGATGGTAGGAGTAGTACTAGTGGTTGCATTAAGGTTTTTAGGCATTCTACCAGTTGTAAAGTTATAACCAATTTCGATAGTTCTGGCCGAATTTACTGCGACATCTAAGTCAACTGGATTCTGAGAATATACAAGTGGGGTGTAGGCTAGATTGAGTCCCATAAGGAACATTCTTTTCTTCTGGACATTATCTGTCATACCGATACTATTAACTAATTTCTTGAATTTATTGGCATATGAGTCAACAGATTCATCACTTTGTTGTCGAAGCACAGCTAATTCTTGATACCATTGATTTTTTTTAGTTTCATTAATAAAACGTGCTTCAAAAAGACCCACAAAATTATTTCTGCCATTGGTTGTTGTAGCCCAATTGTCTCCAATAATTGCAGAAATTCTGTCAAACCAGTCTGCAGCTGCTCCTTTCATATGTCCTTCAGCGATAGCTTTCTTTCTGGCTTCTATAGTCCATTAATTTGTAATAGAAGCTCGTTCAAATGCAGTGAGCCATTCACTTGGATCTTCATTCTCATTTTCATTAAAATAATTAATTTTAACGGTATGTCTTTTTTCTCATAGTCGTGCTCCTCCTTCTTCAAAGATTCCTTCTAAAGCTTCTCTTATTTGGTCTCCTGTTGCTGCCATGAAGTCTAGTGGTTCAGGTGGTGGAGTTCTGGTAGTTGAATTAGATAAACTATTAGCAGATGGGATTGGTGAAACAAGTATTTGATATAATAATTGTCTATCTCTTTGTATTTGTAGTAAATCTTGATTTAATATTTCAATGTAAACACTTTTCGAGATGGATAGTGTAACTTGTCTCTCAAAACAATTGGTGTTGAATGCTATGCCTTGAATATATAGATATAAAACGTCAAATGAAAATGGTGTGACTCAGTAGTGAATACTAGAAAGTATTGTTACAATAACACTTTTTAATCATTCGTCACGATATTCTGATTCAGAAGTATGGTATAGGTTTTTAAATAAATTAAATGCAACAGTAGTTCTTGCAGAGTAAATGTCAGCTTGATGTTCAAAGTTAAACCAAACCCAAAAGTATATAAACTATCTGTAAGATTATTATTTGAGAGTAGGGGATAACACCAAAAGCAAGTGTAATCTACATTTAAACTAATGTTGGAATAGTGTCTAATAATATGCTCAGTTGTATTACGTTCAACTTCTTCAAAATTCATACATCTCGCTAGTTTATTAGCAGTTCGTTGTGTATATTATCAACAAAGAATAACCTGGTAGGAATCACTACTTGTTAGCTTAAACGGTTCGTCGTTAAGTTAACTAAGATTATTTGCTAACAGGAAGTTTAAGTGCATCTAAACTATGGAGGAAATAAATACGGATTAATTATGTTGAAGGGTCAGGTCGTCTTTATTGATATAGATTTAAAGAAGCATGAAATTGTATATTGAGCAAAGATATAATTGTTAAAAGATAAATGTTATTGATTTATTAGATAATTGTAGCGACTCTGCTATTTATTGAAGTAGAAATACAAGATATTTATATAAAATACATCAATATGAAATAGATATTTAATATAGTAAAGAAAAATAAGAAATATAATATAAATAAAAAATTAAAGATATATAAGAAATTATAGATTGCTAAGATCACTAAGAAATTAGAGAAATGATAGAATCATAAAAATTAGAGAAAGTTGAGATCCATGATCGATGGGATCATTATTCGCTAATTATAATTGGCGCAATACTAATGCGTCATAACTAGACTATCACTAACAACGTGTTCTAAATGCCAGATATATGCTATAGGCAATTAGTTTGATATATTAGAACACTTGCAGTCAGACCCAAAGCCTATCTCGAAAGACAATGACTGCTCCTATTCTTTGGCTGTCTAACTATCACTATTATCACTATTGCTACTGCTACTACTACTATTAGAATCCCTCCTCCCTTCTCTATTAATCCATTCTTTGATTTTATCCAAAGAAGTAGTCTTCGGTGTTTTTTGATGGCAGTAGAAACTTGTCAAAGTCACAGAGCTTAATGTATTTCTTAAGAAATTACATTATATAACTATATATGAGAGTGTCCCTTCCTTTTTCTTCTTTGTTTAAATAAGGCTGTGAATTCTACCCATAAAGTTTGAACTTCATCGGGATATTCCAAATATTGACTGGTAGATACACAGCTAGAAGAGAATCGAGATGAACCTAAACGATAAATAATAAAAAAGTTAGTACCTATTTACCCTTGAGAATATATGCAAAGACAATCAGGAAGAGCAGAATATTTCTTACCTTGTAATACGTAGTCCCATTCTGCCTCCTTTTATTTTTTGTATTTCATTATTTACAGTAATGCCAATATTGATTTTTCAAGTTTGGCAATTAGTGGGGTTGAAGTTGGAGAGAGATATTTGCGTAAAAATAATATGCCCCTGCAAAGATTACATATATTATGGCATTTCCTGAAAAAATACCTTGGGAGCGCCTCTATTGTTAGGGTACCCCAGGTTAGCATCTCATAGATTATAATTACAATGCTAAAGAGTACAATCAAAAACATATCAGAGTTTGAAAGCATTTTGTGATGAGAGATTGATTTGAGAGAGATTTGTTTGAGAGATTGGTTTGAATAAGATTTATAAGGTATATGCAAAACTTTATTTTTCGATTTGCGATATTTATGATTGATTATTCTTAAAAGGCTTTTTGGTTCTGTTTAGAGCAGAGTACTTGTTAGAGTATTTGGAGGATTGATTGAATTATGCTTTTGCAAAATTAATATATTAACTTTTTTATTCGATTCTCTTACCAGACACCACCATCATATCCAGTATTTTTATAAATAAAATTTCTCTGCAGTTCGTCGCTACGATCGTCGCAAAACATGAAGGGTCCTGGATCTTCGCTGGAAAATCCTATACTCATTAATCTGGCGGATCCAGATTTCCTAAATTACCCTCTATTAATACGCATACTCTTGAGCAATAAAAAATTAGTATGTAGATTCCAGAGGAATGACACCAATCGCCTCCCATACGAGAAAAATAATTGTCTATATTTCGCGAGTCACCTAGTACCCTAAACGTTTTTGATTTGCAATACATTGAGCTAAAAATAAATTACATGATGCGGGACTAGCCCAGGGTACATGATGACACTCTATTCTTTGACTGCGGAATAAAATACATGATTATACCCTCTTTCTTCATCGCCGGTTCCTTCTCAACATCCACCCTATCCCAACATTATTCCATAATCTATTTCATTTATGCCTTCATGATGCTAAAGAGATCCTCCAAACTCTTGAATGAAAAGATATTAACTAGGTATTAGTTTACAGCTTTGAAGACGCTTCCTTGCAAATGTACTGCCACAACCGAGCGAAATAAGTATTCCCGCCTTAATTGCGCAATATCTTGCCCGGATCTTCGTCTCCAGTTTTTTTTTCGCCGGCACTTCTTCACACTGTGATATCGTGAGTATGCTGGTCCTATTGTAAGGCTTCGGAAGAAATGATTTAACGTTCGGTTTTTGTTAGAAAAAAATACGAATAAAGTGCCTTATATGGGAAAATCTTACGTCGCACAGCCCCTATTCTTCGGCAAGAATTTTCCCGATATCGTACTACTGCGCATTTCAGGTGATCGAGAATTACCCCAGATCTCCTAAATCAAGAGGTCGTTCTCATCTTTGGCTAAGAAATCTATTGACAATAATTCGATTCCCCCCTGAATTGCGAAATTGCCCCGTATTAGGATGCATTAGCTCAGTGATCAAAAAATTAGCAAATCCTATTGTCACTGGGAGAAGTTTGCTGAACAATCAGATTAGACGTGTTAAAAAGCTTTGTGATACATTGAAATAGATACTGGGACACATGATATGTTACTAATGGCAAATCAATGCCTTGGCCCAAACATATTCCGAAAACATGTTTTGCAGGAATGCAGTTGTTGCAAGTTGATTTTTTTTATTATTAGATAACACATGCTATCTTAAACACGCTTGTTATGCTGTTGGTACATATGTAAAAGTTTAGAAAAGCCATAAAACTAAGATAAGCACTTAATAGAAATCTTGCCATTTAGTAATATACTCATATACAATTCCGTTCGCTACAAACCATCTCAACTGATCTTCCCCTTTAATTAAGCGTTTCGGTACTTCTTCAGGAGAATTACCAAGTGGCCATAACATTTGACCCTCGTCATCCCACTGAAAAACACGACCATAACAATCTAAAAATATCATTCCATATTTGGTCTCCCCAATAATAATTATATGATCAAAGCCAAATTCAGCGACACGTCTTATATAATAAATTAGTTCTTCCGGGTCACTATTAAGAACTTTATAATCAATTAAGGTTGCAATACGAGATTTATCTTCAAATGTATCAACTAAGATGAGCGGATCGTTGCAACTCGATGTTCTTCCATTTTTGTCTTCACATAATCGCACTTGAGACATGCTTCCATGACTGCCGGTTTTTGATGACACTTCTTCGGGATAGCGAGAGTGCGCGTGTATAGAACGACACGTTTTCTGAGGGACAATCTTTTTCCAAACATCGCCTCCCGGGGACCCAATTCTGCGCAATTTCCCAAAGGATGCCTGCGTTCTTTCAATTGTTCCACTGTTAGGACATCCATCACATTCTTTGCCCAACGTAACGTCTGCATGTTCTCCATTCTTGTCTTTACTGCCTTCACATTCACTGGCGCTGGACAACGAATCGACGAGCCCATCATGAATTTCACATCTTTTCCCTTCCGTTTCGATACTTGATCTGAGTATGTGAGGTTCACTGTTGATGGACACAAATTTGTATTTGGTCATATTGCCATGATACTCTCTATTAAGCGTTCCCGACTCCCATATAGATAATCGATTTGCTCCTCTACTGTCACCTTCTTTGAAGGCCGATGGGCGTAACTCCAAAGGAGACTCCAAGCGTCCCAAATCGTAATAATTGTTGTCGGTCGAAACTTGTCTAGGAATACTGTTTTTCCTGTATGACCGAAAGGTGTCATTTCCCCCTTCGCTCTACATAAAATATGATTTTTGAATGCGTTTAAGCTTTTTTTTCTGCTCTTTCTCTCCTTACCTGAAAGGCTCCACAAATTCCGCAATCAACTCTTTCTGCCATGTTTCTTTTAAGGTGTTTAGCCAGCTGTACGACTTTAAAGAAAAAGAATAAATATACAAAACAAAGAATGCACAAACTAGTGAAATAGACTATACTTTATTGGTACTGCTTCCACAGTTGCCATATATACAAATCGTGCAACAGAATAACGGCTTAATAATCAAAAAAATGCGAATCACATGTAGAATGACGCCTATATGACATCACAGATTCAAATCATCTATAACCAACATTAGTCCGAAATTTATATATAATATATCACATGATTTACACATGACTTTTATAACAAAATGTATACGAAAATTATCTTTTATTCTTCATTTAATTTTTCATAAACATATTCTGGAATCCTTTTATAAGATTTATATTTTTTTACTGCATATTCAGCAAGTTTACCTGTTATTTCATGCCTATATATATATCCATATAACGCCATGATTTTCTTGCAAATTGACGAATTATTATTATTTTAACAGAAGCCAATGCTTTTGGAACAATCTCTTGTAATCCTTTCCATGAATAATTGCAATTTTTCTTGCAAATCGTTTGGCAGCCCCTCAATATCGTTCAATAAAGTTTAATTCACAATGAAATTTAGGAAGAAAAATACAGATGTGACCTGCCTTTTCAATTACTTCAGCCAAAGCTCCTTTCTGAGCTAAAAATCTGGTTGAAGAGAAATGATTTTATGCTCACAACAATCTACACAATTAATATCTTCTATTTTTTCACGACATAATTTATATTCAACAATTATATTTTTTCCATAATTCTCATTCTATTAAAACTTATTTAATACCTTTTGGCTGATCATTATCAAAATTCATTTTTTGAAGTTGATTATTAGGTCCCCATCTTGTATCTCTCATTTTTGAAACATTTTTACCACCTAAACCAATATTCATTCTATTTACTACAAGAGCATCTGGCATAAATGCTACATGCTTTGAACTATTATTAAACATAAAAACTCCAATACATCCCAGAAATATTGTTTCAAAAATTGGAATTACTTTTAATTCAACTTGTTCTACTAAATTTTGGCTTGTCCAATATCCCTCTTCATTTTTTCCTGTTTTAAAATTACATATGTTTTTTCTGGAATTGTTGGATTTAAAGAAATTTCATCTGATGTTAAATAAAGAGGTTCTCGAGCTTCAGTTAAAACTCATTAATCATAATTGATTTTTCGTTTCCCTTTTTACGCAATGGTAATTATCCATCTTGAGTCCAAATTCCACACTTTCCATCATTAGAATAAAATATACTTTCATCATGAACAATTAAAATATGTTGCGTTCATTTTCTTTTAATTGTAGTAGAACCTGATGCATATCTTCTCCTTTATAAGTTGTCATTAAAGATTCATATTTAGCTATCTGTTCAAGAAATAATTTTTAATATTAAACAACATCATCATACTCATAATCATCATAATAAATTCCTTATTTGTGTATTTGGTAATTAGGCCTAACTAATTTAAAAGTTTGTTTAACATTATCTCCCCTCTATCATTGACCCAAAACGTCAAATAATCAACATTATATTGGTATCAAGTGACTGATAAATTTACAAATATGAAATTACATAATATAATATACCTATTCTATATGTTTTATCTTTATTTAGTAAAGTTTAATGTAAATATTCTTTATAATTTGTCCTAAAACTAAATAAAGTAAATAAAATAGATTCAAGTAATCAGACCAATATATTGACATTTGATATGTGTCAAATTGTATATAAATTGATCTCAATCATTTATTGCAATAAATTTTTTCTCATACAATAAATAACAAATATTTGGAAGTTTGTGTTAAAAAAAATCTAGATATATTAATAAAACCTTGTGCATAAAGATGGTACAGCAATTGATTTCAAATTTACAAAATGTTGCAACATAAGCTAAAATTAGTTGCAACATATGTTGCAACATTATAAGTTGCAACATATATAGTTTAAAACTAATTGCAACGTAAGTTGCAACATTAAAAGTTGCAACATATTAATTACAGTTCTCATCTTTACTTGTGCATTTAAAGTTGATGATTGTCATAACTTTAATAATATTTTTTACAAAACAATCAGATATATTTTTAATGATAATATTAATATGTATTGGTTTTTGGTCGTGATGCAGAAAATAATCCTTAGGTTGATATTAGGAATGGTTTAGATGCAAATGTTAAGTTATGTTCGTATCTTAGCTATAAACAAATCCGATTTGTCAATCAAGAAAGTGAAAATGACAATGATGATATTACAAGAATAAATGCATTTGATATACTTATGAATACAGTAAAAAATTATTACTTCCTTTAAAATACATGAAAATACACATGATGATCTTCTATATAATGAGCTGATTTCTATTTTTGAAGAGAAGAAAATTGGGTGGATCGGGGGTACATATAATACTATTGAAAAAAATTTGTAGAAAGGTTAATAACTGCAATCTAGTATTTAGATCTACATCTTGATAAACCAATTAACAGGGTATGTAATTTGCCTCTTTTTTTTAAAGATCTTAATATTTATAAGCAAAAGTGAACCTATAATGAATACTATCATATATCGAAACACAAAAAACAACAATTATCTAGAACTGGGCTTGAATCCATTGTAGCATCTTAAAATTTATCTTTTGGAGAAGCTTGGATTACATCTGATATGTGAAAAAATGTCATTCCTTATGTATTAGAATTAACGAAATGCATTAAAAAATATGCTACTTATTTGGAAGAAGTTAATATTAAGATGAATATATTCTATAATAGTAATACATCAGCCTGAAATGGAATAGAAAATATTGAATTATATATTATTGAAGCTTCCAAAATACTAATTTTATCAAAATATACTAAGCTAGATACAGCTCTTCAACAAGAAAATTATTATGTTTATATTAACTTTGATTAATATACTCCTTTATTACCTAGTCAAAAATATAGTTTTATCAAAGAATTATGTTTATCATTTCCAATTTTAATATATAAATATCATAACAAAAACTATTTAAGAACTAAAAATTTCTTATAGTGAATACCCTTATATGATCATAATCGTTCTGAAACAAAGAATAATTCTGTAGTAATAACTATTAATAATAATATTCATAAATATTATACACAGCAAATAAGAAGAAATATGCTAGATAAAGTAATTCATAATATTTATAATTTTAAAATATTTTATTTAACAATTCTAATATAATTTGTGTTTCATTTTAATATTCCTTAGTTGTAAACTTGACTCCAGCTATTATGCATAGTTTATTTTATGATCTTACTGGTAATGCAGCTGTATCTTCTAATTCTAAATGCAAACTAATTGATGAACATTTATGACAAATGTTTGAATTATAAGACATTTTTGAAAGAACTTTCTTGCTATTTTAATGAGGTATAGAATATTAATATATTTTCATTATTTTTATATTTATAGTAACTAGTATATATATTTATATTAATATATTATAGAATATACCTTCTATAAATGATAGAAGACATGAAAACATCCTTTTTATACTACTTGTAATTTCTATTCGTGATTTGTGTCAAATTATTATTCAGAGACTTAATTTAATTTACAAGTAGATATTCAATATGATGTTATAGTTAGTGATAAGGATAATAATATACTTATTAAAAACCTTGCAATTCCATCAGAGGAATGGATCTGTCTTCAATTTTGCCCTAAAAATTCATTTAATAAAGCAGCTATGCAGTATACAAGCAAATTTTTAATTAAATATATAATTCAGGCACGTCAATTATGAAAAGAACATGAAGATTCTCATTATTGTGCAGCTTTATTTCGATACCTTCATGAATTTTGCATTAAATATCAGAAGTTTGTATACTTTATTTGTGCAGATAATAAATATAAAATTGCTATTGGGAAGAAGCAACAACATCAAGAGGAGTGAGAAATAAACCAACTTTAGTACCAAATGATATGATATTAATAGCATGTGATCATGATTTTCCAAACTTTTTCTTACACCATTAGTTATATTTTTTATTGATATTTCAGAAGATATTACAGGATCATTTTATAGTGATAATGTAACAATATCATATAAAGATACACATTTTCAACCTAGCAAAGCTCTTCATCACTTAACAGAATTTTTAACTGCAATAAAAGATCAATATATTGATAAATCCTTACCACTAATCCTTTATTTATTTATAGTGCAGGTGATTATCGATGTACATTTGGTTCAGTGCAGATTGCACTTATTTGTTTGCTTTTATAAGGTGATTTTGATTTGTTAATAGCAGTTAAAACTGCGCCATATCAAGTTGGACCAATCCTGCAGAAAGAATTATGTCAATAATAAATTTTGATTTGCAAGGAGTAGCATTATTAAGAGATAATCTTAGTAAAGAAATAGAAACTTTATTTTCAAAAGTTGATATAATGAAAGAGATTTGAGAACAGGCAAAAAAATATCCATAATTAGAAGAAGAATTGAAAAATTGTATTAAAATTATTCAGCAATTATTGAAAAATTGTATTAAACATTTAGTATTACATAATCAACCATTTAAAACTCATTCTCTAGCAACAAATGAAGAGATTTCCAATTTTTTTGAGGTTTATTTTATATTTAATTTACATTTATGCTATAAATTTTTATATATAATAATTATTATTTAATGTTATAGTATATGATAAAACACTTCAAATTAATGATACAACACCATCAATATTATAGAAGCATAAAGACTTACAGCAATTTATTAACTCGCATTGTCAAATAAGACATTATTCTTTTCAAGTAAATATAGCAAAATGATTATCAAATATTTTTAACTAAATTGTAATTTATATTAATATTTTTTAATAGATTAAAAATGTAATGATACAACTTGTAAGGTTTATAAACCTATCAAATTACCATTAGATATTTTTGAATTATTACATTTTTTGCCAGATCCAATGAAAGCAAATGGTAGTATTTTTTATAATTTATATATTTATTTACATTTCATAAACATTGTTAATATAACTTATTTTTACATTATTTAATAGAAAATAATGAACATTATGATAATTTTAATTCATTATATGAAGCTGTAACTACAGAAAAGTTTTGATCATCTTTGCTTAATATTTAATTTCATGCAAAATATGGTTTATCAAATATATATATTAATACAAAGGTTCAGGACTTTGTAGAATGCAACTATTGTGGAAAATTACAATGCCTTTTTAGTAATACTAAGCTAATAGATGATAAGATAACTTTCTATAAAATAGCTATTCAAATTTGGCCTTACACATGTGGATGTTCATTAGTACCAACATTTTATTTTTTATATGATCAGTTATATGTTCATAAAAAGATTGGATGTTCAACCCTAATAGAAGTAGTATACGATTTCTGTCGAAAAAGTAACAAAGTATCTAGATGTTATTGGTGTGGATCAAAAGATGATTTAGTAGAGATTTCTGCAGAATTTTAGAAACAATATCAAATTGTATATCTGATGTGTGTGATATGCTAAGATTAAAAAAAGAATTTTTTTACATATAGACATAATAATATTAATCAACAATTTAATAAGAAAAAAGATTATAAGTATAAATAAAACAATTAGTAAAAAGTTAAAATATCAAAAATAAATTCTTTTAAATAAAATTTATTGAGTTTGACTGTTTAATATAAAGTGTTTAAAATTTACTGTTGATTATTCTTCCTCCCCCCTCTGTTTTTTTGTTTAAGTATAATGTTAAACAAACAATTAAATTTGAAAGGCCTTATATCCTAAAATATTAAGCCAATGTTATGCAGTTGAAATAGAAATAGTATTTTTTTGTAATTTCAAGACTAGGAATTAATTCTTCTTTAATAAAACTTTTAAATATATGTGGAGTTATATTGCCACCTTAACTTCTAATCCATTGATAACATTTTTTTGTAACATCTTTATTATCTATTAATCGTATTATTTTTTGATGCTGACCTTGTAAAGAAATTAAAAATTTGTTATATTTTAACCAATATTTGGCATCCTTTCTAATTTTTTGAAGTTTATAAGGACCATAAGTAAAATATATCATTTTTGCCATCTTTTTACTTGCTACCATTTTCTTAATGCCATTTATTTCAGTTTTTATTAAATATTCATAAACTACATGTTTTTTATTATATTCAATAGCTGGCATTTGTCTGTATTTTAATTCAAGTTCTATTTTTAAATTTTTCAATCATTGACTAATATCCTCTGTTGATATTTCTAATGCTAGAATTATAGATGAGTTAAAAAATTGGGTGATTTTTGATGTTCCTTTAGACGCCTTAATTCATATACTACTTGGATTATACTTATTATAATAGGTTGATTTCAGGGTTTTTTTAGTTAGGTAAGGATCACAAATTTTTTTTTAAATGCGTATTTTCTTTCTAATTTAAACCTATTCTCAACAATCGATTTTTAATTCTCTCTTCTATCTCAATATTACTTTTCGATTCTAAGTCACTATCTTTTTCATTACCCCACAAATTTCCTTCATTATCATCAAATATATTTAATATTTCTTCTTCATCACTACCTTCAGAATTATTTTCATCAATACTTTCAAGTTTATTTAGCATTTCTTCTTCACCAATATCTCTACTACCTTTAAGTTTATTTAACATTTCTTCAGGTATTTTTTTATCGGCTTTTAAGATAAAATTTCCACTTTTATTATATACACATTGCTTTGCAGCACATTTTGCTTTACTTAGGGTGGTATTGTAATATTGAAATTAAACAAAATCTAAAACAAAAAAATAAAAAACTACATGATCCCATTTTAATGTATTGTTTTGGAATTTAACAAAATGTGCCTCATTTTTTTAGAATTCAATAGAAGAATAGGTTTTAGTGAGAAAAAAAAAGTTTTTTAAAAATGGTTTTATAAGAAACCATGATGCAGGATTCTTCCAGAAAATTTATGTAAAATAAGTTGATAACCAACTGAAAATAAATAATTTTCTAAGAAAAAATGAAAGAATATGACACTAGCGTATTGTTATTTTTAAGTTTATGTATGATCATAATACAATCCTCTTTCTGGGTAAATACAGAATTAACATGATTATAGTGGAAATTCACGGGTAACTAGTTCAAAATTTTAACTTTATAGTAAAAATAGCAATTTTTGAAGTATCATAATTCAAAATATTATTAATAAAAATAAAAATTTAAGCCATAAAAATAGAAGATAAATAGTTAATTTATTATAAAAGTGATATTATATTATTATTCTAATAATATTAAAAAAGTTATAAAATTTAAGAGATTTATCAAAATTTTTGACGATTATAAATGATTTGCATCATAGGCATAGTGAATTTTTGTAGACTTTGCAAACGTATTATAAGTTATTGATTATAGGAGATTTAAATTTTTGAATGTGAATTTCTTGATTTTTCGTATTCTTTCTGAAATAACAATATCTGGTTTTTCATCATACCATACTTCAAGAAGGAAAATTTCATTATCCAGACAAATGCATTTTTTTTGCTGATCACTATTAATGATGTCCTTGAGTTTTTGACATCTTTATACTAGCTAATACTATGAAACTAATATTGAGCCCCTTGCATCTCTAATGCGATTCGATATTTTTAAGCTCTAATCCAAGAAAGAAGAACAATATTCAATCATAGGTTCTTCATTAAGAATTTCCTTAGCTATTTAAATGCATCTAGCCTGAAATTTGCAATTTTTCTTAGATTCTCTTTTTGTCTGGTTCTGCTCTAGTTTTAAAATTCTAGCCTCAAGCTCAGTAAAGCTTTGTCTCAATACTTCAAGCCTAGCTTTCTTGTCAGTTTTCTTATCCTTAAATCCAGTGATTAATACTTCAAGTTTAGATGACATATTGTTTTTTATATAATAAGAAATATTTAATGTTACATGGCAAATGTTTTATTATTACATGTGAAAATAAATACAAGATCAAAACTTAGCCCTGTGATACATATTATTTTTGATAAATTTTTTGATCCTAGCCCTCTTACTAGTCAGGAAACTATCTACACTAACCCGATCCTTTAATAACCTTACAATTATGCTAATTACCCTTTACATATTGTTTTGAAGTAGCTCAGGATTTTCTTTAATGGCAGACTTCACATACCATCTTTATTAAAGTTTAGAAAATTTTGGATTTTGAAAAAATAGGATATTTAAAGGATCTTGAATCAATAGCATGTTTATGAGAAAATTTTTGTATTTTAAGAGTAAACATGAGAAAAACAAATCTTATATATTAATAGAAAGGAAAATTTCTTCAACTAAAAATATCTCATCGTTAAAAATGCATTGTATCAATGAAATTAAATCTAACAAACTGTCGCTGATTAAAATTTAAGGGGTTAACTGATCATACTTATTTTATTAAGTATAGTATTTTCTCAAATAAAGTTCTTAGCTGATGCCATTACAAAGATTATATTATTATGATAAGGTTGATAATAATCATTAAATAAGAAATTTATAAAACATGATAAATCTTATTTACGGATCGATAAATATGATAATCAAAATAGAAAAAACTTTAGAATCATAACAAATATAATATTCAAGCTTAATTTAGTATCTGTACATTCAAAGTATAAGAAAAAATTTTTGGTCTACATAATCTGTTTTTCAAAGATTTTTTCTCATAATATTATTATTTTTGTTATTTTTTATTTTACGTAAAATTTATATGTTATTTTAAATTCCTTAATAATTCTGTATATATTAGTTTTTTAAAAAATTATAAAAAAATAAATTATTATAAAACATATAGAATTTTGATATAGAATCATTAAATACGTATACAAACCTTATAAAAAACATATTATTTTCTTATTTAGATTTCTTATAGGAATACTAATTAAATTTAATTAATAAATAATTTTTAGATAATTGATTATATTGCTATACACTTATAAAATCAAAAACAAAGTTAATGATTAGACAATTTTATTGTTTAATTAAAATGATATAATTATCATTTTAAAGATATAATATATTATTATTTTAATTGAATGAAACAAAAATAATATATCATCATTCTGATTAATTATTGTTTCAAAAGAATGATGTTTTATTTTTTTATTAAATAATTAATCTTATTGCAAAAGAATAATATATTATTATTCTTATTAAATGATTTCTTTACATTATTACATAAGAATAATATATTATTTTTTTAATTGGAATGATAAAATTATTATTTAAAGAAATAATATATTTTATTCTTATTAAACAATTAAATTATTATTTAATAGAAATAATAATTATTATTTCAATTAAAATGAATAAATTATTATTAAAAAAATTATCACAAAGCAAAATAAATTATTGTTTTTAAGAATAATATAACATAAATTAAAATTTATAAAGTTTTAAAATTTGATTTGAATTTTATATATATTAAATACTATTATTTAGAATAATTTCAAATATAAATGGTGATAATTAAGAATTAATACTTATAAAAAAAATATATAAATATATTTAGTTATTATTAAATTGAATTATCCCTTATAATAATATTAATTTTGTTATAAAAAAATTATTTAAGTTTTATATAATAATAAGAATTTCATCTAAATTTGTAGAATAACTAAGTTTTATATTATCTGTTGATATAGCAATTGGGTTATAATAATTAATACATGTAAAGTATTTTAAATTTTTTTTAAATTTAACTATAAATAAATTATATTATAATAAAAAAATTTATGTATTGAATAAAATTTGAACCAATACAATTTGATACTTTCACAAAATTTTTATACTAATTGGTTTCAAAATTTATATAATTTTATATGGCAAAATTTATTTTTTATAAAATTAATAAAATAGTGAAAACTTAGTGTGAATTTTTAATTTTTTTTCTTTGGAAGTTGATTTATCAATTGTATTTTATTTAATTAATTGTAAATAAATGAATATTATAAAGCATAATTATAAAATCCGATTTTTTAAAATCAAGACTTATCAAGAATCACAAGACTTATATAATTTTATTTTTTTACAGAAGTTTCTGAATAATTGAAATAAGTCGTATCTTATATTTTTAATGTGATATTGCTTCTGTATATTTCATTTTTATTATCAAAATGATTTTTTTATTTTAAAGCGAATTTATAAACAATTAAAATTTTCCTCTTTACTTTATTAATGTGACAACAATGGAAATTTTTATACATTGATTATGTAAAAAGATTCACCATATATTTATAATAATAGCGTGATAATTTACCAAATACCAACTTTAAAAATTTAACCATAAAAATCCTACTACTATTTTTTACGTTACCTTATTTTAGTTTTTCACATACCAGTTCATATAATTGTCCGGGGTCCTGGTCGTAAGTTTGACGGGTCGGTCGGGTTACAGATTGACTTGACCTAATTCGGATCTTTAATATGAATATAATTTTAGCTATAGTATATCATCAATTAAATAAATGAAAAAAAGAATTCTGTAAAATAAGAATCTATTTTTTAATGATTTTTGTGATTTTTGTTTGATTAATCCTTATAATTGCGATAATCCTAAAGCATTTGTATAAAAAAAATTTTTTTTTAGCATTTTTATAAATTTCTTAATAAATAAATCACGTGAAAACAGCAAAAAAATTTTTTTTTTAAAAATAAATTAGGGGGGGGGGGTCCGATCAGTGCTTTTTCCCTCGACTTTTTTTTTTTATATATAAATATATATTATATATGCTTAGATCAAAACTATTATCTCGTAACCTTTTTTCAAGTTTTTTGCAATGTAGAATCACTATAGCTTTTCCTCCAGTTTCTATTTATCTTAACAACCTCAATAATGTACAGAAAAGGTTTGCAGGACATAACAAATGGAGCAAAGTCAAATATGTAAAGGGTCCTAAAGATCTTGAACGCGGAATTTTATTTACGAAACTCTCAAAAGAAATTCAACTTGCAGTAAAACGTTGGTGTTTTGGGTATTTTACATTACACTGAATGTTTTTTTTTCGTTATTTGAATCCGAATATTCATATTAATATTTGACGTAATAAGTGGGAGGCTCTGATCCTGCGTTAAACATTCGTTTAGCTGCTGCACTGGTCAGTGCCAAAAGAGCACATATGCCTAAGGATAATGTAGAAAATTCAATTAAAAAGGTTCGTCTTAAATGAGAATATTTTTAACATTTTTACAATATCGATGTCTTGTTAAAATTTTCTATAGGCATTAGGTCAGGGAAAAGCCGAAAGTATCGAAAACATAACTTATGAAGGATACGGACCCGGCGGAGTCGCGTTTATAATGTAAGTTATTTATTAGCATTTAATTTCTCGATTTTTTTTTGTTTTTATAACAAGATTTCATAATAAGGTAACATTTTAAATTTTTGATAGAGAAACTGTGACAGATAATAAAAATAGAACTGTTAAAGACATAAAACATTATTTCGCTAAAGCTGGGTATGAGGTGAATCAATCCTATTCATTTCACCAACTGACTTGATCTGTTGAAATTTTGAAATTCATTAAAATTATCATATTTATGCGATATTTCAGAGGATCAATGTCAACTGTATCTTGGCTGTTTGATAAAAAAAGTATGATATAAAATGTAATGCATATCAATTTTCATGAACCTTGTCTTTTGTTAATTT